GGATGGTCCTTTGGGCGTGCCCTAAGGAAAGGCCTGTTGAAACTAACGTAAACGAACGCAGGGCTCTAGACTGTAGGGATCAGAGTGGCATGTTTATATTGGGTGTTTCAATACCTTAGGCCTTCCCTGGTTTTTTCGAATTTGGGAGCCATGATGCGTTCCTGCATATAATTTTTATCAAGCCTATATTTTTGTAATCTCAAATCCAAAGTTGTGTGGCTCTATGATTATTCATTTATATCTGGTAGAGCTCTATTTAGTGTTTGGTATTTTGCATTTTTAGATGCCAGTTGCTACAGAAAGTGTCATAGATTTCTGACAATGAAATTATGTGTTGGATCTGCTGAATAATGGCAATTACATATCGGCTCAATCGTAAAAAAACATTTTTTAAAAACATCCCATAAACTCCCAAGACAATTTTGATACGGCTCTCCACAGAGTCAGAGCTTTTGGTGATTTAGAATTTGACACACAATTGTTCATTTCATTGCTTGTGCCTTAGCCTGCATGTCTGGATACCGTTATGAAACTGGGTGGTAGACTGCCAAAGTTAAATATTGAAATAGATGTATCAAATTTTGGATTTGAGATTAGATATAATTATTGTTAGTAATATTAGAACCTATTTCATTTGTTTTATTCTATCTATTTTGATTTTGGGTGGGTGTGAATCTAAGGTATTGAAACATCCTGTATTGTCTACTATATGTTTATGTTGTTTACCATGTGCTGCAGATGCAACCTTTAAATGAATCTGTGCATGCATAGAATATGCCATTGTATCCAAATTTCCCTTTTTGATCAATAGAAATTGTGTTTTTCTTTTTTTCTTTTGTCCCCCTTTTTTTTCTTCTTTTAATGACTTGTAAATCCTTTTTGGGTAGATTTAGAATATATAATACATGTATTTGTTTTTATCTGTTCCAAAGCAACATCCTTGAATGAACACTGATCTGAAGTAAAGTTTTTCCTCTTTGTTGGTTGAAGTTAATGTTAGGTCAAAATTGTAATAGACACATTTTCCTAGAATAGGGTACAAGAGCACATTGTAGTGACACTGGCACTGATAAAAAGTGAAAGGAGCAGAGCAGTAGTTCCACAGCATTCGTCAAGCTCCTGCCTGTGACAATCTGTAGTGAAGAGCAGTGGTCGCTTCTGCTAATTACTGCAGTTAAAAAATATCTTGGCCCAGATTTTAGAATCTGGTGGTGGGTGGCAGGTGGGTGCTGTGGTATAGTTTGCTCATTGTTTCCTATCAGACACATATCGTCCTTATCTTTCTCCTTCTTGTCTTTGTAGTTTAAGCTCCAGTAACACCTTTAGTCTTCAGAAAGAGTGGTTGGCAGGTGCTCTAGGATGGTTTGCTATTAGACATCTATCTTCCTTATCTCTTCCTTTTTTGTTTGTATAGTACACTCTATTAACACCTTTAATCTTTGGTACTTATATGACCTGATTGTGTTGTGAGTGCCGTAAAACTGACTAATCTTTGACATTTATATTATTAGTGGCGCCCTCTCACCACCCACTGATCCGCTTAATAGAACAGTAAAATTCCAGGAACAAAATAGGAGACGTACCTCCATCAAAATGTATGCCAATCTGGTTGGTGGGTGCACTAGTGTGGTTTGCTTCTTCTTTGCTATCAAACCTGACCACTAAACTGCTCAATAGGACAATAAAATTCCAAGGACTAAATGGGAGACACATCCCCATCAGAGTGTACACCAGTCACCCAGTTATGAATGGATAAGTGGGTGATTCGTGGGTGCACTAGTGTGGTTTGCTTCTTCTTTGCTATCAAACCTGACTACTAAACTGCTCAATAGGACAATAAAATTCCAAGGACTAAATAGGAGACACACCCTAGGAGACACACCCCCATCAGAGTGTACACCTGTCACCCAGTTATGAACGGATAAGTGGGTGATTCGTGGGTGCACTAGTCTAGTGTGGTTTGCTTCTTTTTTGCTGTCAAACATCCATTGTCTTGTTCTCTCCTTTTTCTTTTGTGTGTTTGTTACTCTCTTGTAACACTTCTAATCTTCGGCACTTACAAAGTTACATGACCATATTGTGTTTCTAGTGCTGTAAAACTCATACTAAAAACAAAGTAAATGAATGGATAAAAGCTGAACAACTAGAGGCAACAAAAAGCATGACTTACTGAAATATATCAGCAAGACTGCTTTCTTGTTGATATATTTCGGTAAGTCATGCTTTTCTTATATTTATTTGATGTAAATTTGTATTTAATGTTCAAGCCTTTGTTTGATTGGTTATTTCCTCTGTCTCTGCATTTGTTCTTTTTTTTATCCCCAGGCTAATTGAAGCAAAACTACAAGAAAAGCAAGGAAGATAGCAGTTGCATTTTTAAATCTGAATTTCAGGATGGCTCACACAATAAAGTGCCTTCTTTTGAATATCAAATTGGTACTTCTCAAAAATTATTATTTAGGTGGGTGGGATCCTTTTAAAATGTCCCAGCTATTTGTTCGATTCTTTACTGTTACTATGTAAATTGTAAATATATATGCAAATATGTAATATTTAATTAATAAATTATTATTGAATGGTAATATACGTTTTTGGCTTTATTGTTTCATAGTCTGTTCATATTATCTCTAAGAGTAATAACATTTGAGTGTTCTCATAATAACACTGAAAATGAATGGAGAGAAGAAAAAAATTATGTGGAAAAGGGGAAAAAGTGTTGGTATCTTTTGAGTCTGAGTTAAATTCTTTATTGTTGCCTACGAGATGAGACCATAAAATGATCATCTCTCCTGCGCACAGCAAAACAAAAAGATTTGGGGACTTTTTGGACAATTGAGTCCAGAAACAATCTTGTAGAAATTTAGAGTCTGTCTTCCTGCATGAAAGTCATGTGTTCTTTAAACAAATGTTTTCGCGTGTTAGTGTTTTTACTATTTGAAGCACCACATTGTTATTTTCATAACATGACCTACTTTTTAGAGTACTTACTATAACTCAGGTAAAAAGTAAAAGCGTTAAAACTCAAAAGACTAAATTTTGTGCATAATCAAAAGGTGATACATATCCTTTTTTTGGAATCACCAGTATACAGTGGAGTCCACTTGTGAGTCCTGAAATAACAAAAAGTCTGTCATAAAGACACAGTTTTTTCCCCTTCTTTATCTTTGTAAAAAAAATATTGCTATAACGCAACCAAACACACGAGTCGGTTATAGCGGAATATTGCTGCTGCTGTGCACATATTATTAAAATTATGTAAAACTTCGCCAGTTGAGAAACTTGTTGGTGATCTTGCGAAACAAAATATGGGAAGGAGAGCCCACATGCTAACAATGAAGGCTGGAGCGAATGAATGGGGAGGGTGTTGTATGCGTAGACAAGCAGGACGCATCGCATGATAAGCCAGCCCAGTCTAGATTATCTTGGCCTACGATGCATCTCACTTCTCCTATGCGGGGATGGAGAGGTCACATAGCTGTGATGGATGGAGCGAATGTGTGACGTGGGCAGGGTGTGGTGTGTACCCATGTGCGCAAACAAATGGAACACACCACAGGGTGTGGTTGGGTGGGGAACAACACAGTGGGCGAGTCAGCCAAGAGCCCTTTCTTTCTGATCGCCAACACCGAGCTGTCAACATCACTAGCGCTAAAGAAAGAAACCTGATTCGATTTTTTGATCAAGTAAGACACATGTCTTGGGTAAGACCTAGAGTGGAGGTCATGTTGAACAAAATTATCATCAGGGGAGATAACAGAAAAAAATAAACAGAACATTAGGCTCATAGATTATGCCTACATTATTATTTCCCTTGAATTTTTTACTGGATCCCTTATTATAACGCTAATCCTGCTATAACGGATATTTCACATCAGTCCTCTCCCTCTCGTTATAACAGGATTCCACTGTATATATATTGGGGATCAACATCAGGACATGCCTTTTGGCAGTGTCTAACTCCACATGGCAGCTTTAAAGCAAACAAGTCTATGGTTTTGTTGTGCTCACTGTAGTAACGCTAAATGCTGTGGAAGATTAAACATAATGACATAATCTGAATTGACCGTGAGAACACAATCATCGTACAGTTCAAAAAGTCAAGGGAGGATACCTGGTCTTCCTTGTTGATGCAATTTAATGGAGCTATTCCCCTTGAATCATGTTAGTTTTATACATTTGCTGCTTGTTAAATGTACCGGTTAGTACCACTTCACATACTTGAAAACAAAAAGATTATGCTCAACACTGAGAGTGTAACGATCAACATAGTAAAGAACAAGGTTGCATGTAAAATTGCAGAACCAGATTGTAAAATAGAATGCTTTGTTGGTTGTTACAACTAAAAATAAACCTAAAAATAAATAATAGATAAAATTATGCTCAACACTGAGAATGTAACGACCAGCATAACGACTTCCCCAGGAAATTTGAATGACTATGAAATATAGCTGTTTCAAGCTTCACTGATCACAACTTAGGCTTGTCTAGAGTCTATCCAGAACAAAGTTGCTTTTAAAATAGCAGAGCCAGGTTGTAAAACAAATGTGTTGTTGTTTGTTATCACTATAAACGCACAACAATAAATTGATTGTGCTCAACACTGAGAGTGTAACGACCGACACAGTAACGACCAACATATCAACTTATGTAGGAACTTTGGATAACTAAAAAATTTTACGACTGTTCCAGCTTCTCAGATCACAACTAGACTTGTCCAGAGTCTGTCAGTAGGCCTACAACGTTGCTTGTAAAATTGCTGACTCTGGTTATGAAACAGAATGATGAATTTTGTTGGTTCCATCACCTACTATGGTGGCGCCGGAGGCCTAGTGGTTAGGCTACCGGACTTGTAAACGTGAGATTGCGCGTTCGGGGGTTCGAGCCTCAGCTCGGTCTGACACTGTGTCCTTGGGAAAGGCACTTTACACATGGCTCGGTCCCTTCGGAGATGGACGTTAAACTCAGAGGTCCCGCCTCTTAATAAACGTAATAGTGTTGATAGGGGTGTTAAACCTTTACCATTGCACCATTTTTTTTCACCTACTGTGACAAAGATTCCCTGTCACTCATGTGAGGCTGCTTTATTGTCATTCCAGCTGCAGTCCCAAAACATTACCATCTGCTGCATATACAGTATACAGGCTACCACCGAGTAAAGCAAATTATATCAAACCATCCGTTTTTATGGAGGAATTTCTAAATTAAATTTCAACTCTGAAGATGAAAAGTACACCATTCATTATAACTGGCGATTTTAATTTTCACTTTTGCTCTGAAAACCCTGTCACTAAAAATATAAGCAACCTGCTGACAGAAAATGATTTAAAACAACTCGTCCAAGTACCAACACATAAAAGTCAGCACATCCTAGACTGGGTTATCTCCCCTATTGAAAAGAACTGTGTGAAAAGCATAAACGTTCTGGACAAAGACATTTCGGATCATTTTCTTCTTATGGTTGACTTGAACATCAAAAGACCAAGGAAAGAAATAAAAACAGTTCATTCCCGGAATCTGAACGATATAAATGTACACCAGTTTCAATTCGTTCGTGATGCTCTTGCTATTAGTTCCCCTTTTAACATAGAAACCCTCAATACCATCATGAGGAATATTTTAGATGATCATGCTCCTGTTAAAAAACAAACATTATCTCATCGACCTATTGGCAGGTGGGTTTAATTTGGAAATAAAGGCTGCAAAAAAGGGGAAAGACAAGCGGAAAGAAAATGGAGAAAAACACGACTTGAAGTGCATAAGGGAATATTTATTACTGTGAAAAATTCTGTTAGTAAAATGATTACCAAGGCCAAGCGTACTTTCTTTTTGTCAAAATTTGAAAATGTTAAAACGTATAAGGAAATTTTTTATGTCTCTAGTGAACTGCTTGGCAACCAAAACAGAACAGTATTACCCCCTGGCACCGATAGAGATCTTTGTAGTAGCTTTTCAGACTTCTTTTTCTTAAAAAATCAACTCCATCAGACAAGAGCTCAATAAAATGTGCGCAATTGCCCCAAATTACCATCAGTTTAAGGGGTTAGTCCTCGATTATTTTACTCCAGCAACGGAAGAAGAAATCAAAAAGATCATATTAGATAGTCCATAAAAAAAGTTGCACCTTAGACCCCATGCCCACCAGCCTTTTAAAAAAATGTTTGCTTGAACTTCTTCCTCATATCACCTAAATTGTAAATGATTCTCTCCTCACAAGCACAGTACCAAATTGCTTTAAAACAGCACATGTAAGACCCCTTTTGAAAAAAGCTGGACTTGATGAAAAGTATTAAAATTTTTTTAGACCAGTGTCAAATCTTTCTTTCTTATCCAAAATTCTGGAAAAAGTTGTGTCTAATAGACTGTTACATCATATTAAAGCAAATAATCTTAGCGAAGTCTATCAGTCAGCATATAAAGCACACCATAGTACCGAGACAGCGTTACTTAGGGTGTGTACTGATATTTTAAAATATATTGATGAAAAAAGGTATGTCTTCTTACTCTTTTGGACCTTTCGGCTGCATTCGATATAATTGATCATGACATTTTACTCGAGAGATTAAATACTACTTTTGGCATAAAGGGTACTATCCTGCGATGGTTTGAGTCATATTCTAAAGATCGAACACAAGCAGTTGTGGTTGGAAGCACGTGTTCTGATGTTTTGCTTAGATGTGGTATTCCTCAGGGGTCTGTTCTTGGACCTGTCTTGTTTACAATGTATTCACAACCTATTGCTGATATTTTAAGACAATATGACATGAATTACAATCTTTATGCTAATGACACTCAAATTTATAAGTCTATCGATTTTGATCAAATACCACTTTTAGTCGACTCTACTGAACAATGTACTAGAGATTTAAAAATATGGATGGCCAGCAATTAATTGAAACTAAATGATGACAAGACGGAAATAATGTTGAGTGGAAATACAAAAGCCGTTAAAAGTCTCCCAGAACTACAAATTGATATTAATAACCATACCTTTCGTTCAAAAAGAAGTCTGAAAAATCTAGGGGTTCAGTTGGATTATGATATGTCTATGTCCTCCCAAATTTGCCAGCTCAGCAAAAGTATTTACTTTCAGCTTACGAAAATTGGCAGTGTAAAAAAATATTTTACTAAAGCAGCAGCCAAGACACTTGTAACAACACTAATTTTTATCAAAGTTAGATTACTGTAATGCTTTTTTGTCCGGTTTGACAGCCGCAAAACGATCAAAGTTACAAGTAGCCTACTCCAAAATCAAGCAGCAAAATTGACAATGAAACTGAAGAAATCAGCACATGTAACACCAATTCTGAAAGAACTACAATCGTTGCCAATAAAAGAAAGGATCAAATACAAAACTGCCGTTCTCTGTTCTAAATGTATAAATGATAGTACACCTTTGTATCTTAAAACATTCCTGGAATTATATCATCCACCTAGAGCCCTTAGATCAGCCTCTGATAATCTAATTCTTAAAACTCCAAAACAAGATTACAAAACATACGGCGAGCGTTCCTTTTCGTTCTTTGGTCCACAGGTATGGAACGAACTCCCAAATAAAATAAGATCTGCCCCAACAATTTCCATT